TCGTGTCTGTCAGTGAGTACGTGAGAGAATCGTCCACCCAGGAGCACTCTCCTCCTGTCCCATTTGGTCGAAACGGAGTCACCCATCTCTTGCTGTGCTGTGTTGTGTTGTGTTGTGTTGTGTTGCAGGACCGAGCTCAACAAGATGAAATACGAGCTCGCCAGGCTCCAAGACGAGAGCGCACTGCACCGGTAACGCAGACACATGTAATTCAACAGTGTGCGCACGGTCATCGCTGTGTGTTTCATTTCATCAGGGAGCTGGAGGCCGCCCGCAGTGAGCTGACGACAGCCTGCCGAGAGCACCACAAGGAGCTCATGGAGGTCAAATACGAGCTCTGGTTAGCTCCCACAACAATGCACTCACGCAAGCTGACGTGGCGTCATCCTTCCCTTGCTCTTTGCTTGTGTACTCAGGGGGCTGGAGGAGGCTCACCGCGACCTCAAGGCCGCCATGGAGCAGGCCACACGCAGGCACCAGGCGGAGCTGGAGGAGCACAAGGCCCAGTGCGAGTGAGTGATAACGAACGACGAAACGACACAGCTGCATCGTCCATGGAGGGATGGATGGATGGATGTGCTGTTTGTGTGGCTGTTTTGTGTCGACTGACAGAGAGCTGGAGAGTCGACTCGACCTCGCCAGTCGGCGGCGCAGAGAGCTGTCGGACGACGTCAACCAGCGCGACGACGTCAACCAGGCATGCCACAATTGTTGCCGACCATTTCTGAGCACATGACTTGTATGCTGCTATGCTTCTCTGTGTGATGGGTGCTTCAGCCGGCTGGTGCAGGAGAAGGGCGAGCTCGGCAAGGCGTCGGAGGGCAAGACGCAGGAGTTGGAGCGGCTGCAGACGGCCCATCGGGGCGCCACCACAGCCACCATGCGTCTTGCCCACGAGCTGCGCCTTGCCAAGGAGGAGGCCGGCCTCAGGCACTGCCCATTCAACCTGCATTGCTCTCTTTCTCTCTGTGCGTGTGTGTGCAGACGACATGGCCTGGTTCATCCCGACAAGCCGCCGTGTACGCGTCCAAAGGATGCAATGCTATCTTCTCATTCGTGCCTGTGTGTGGGTCTTTGTCTGTGTCTGTGTGTAGGCCTTGCGATTGAGGGAGGCGGCCGGTTGGTGTGACACCCCCGCGGCAACCTCTACTTCACCCACGAAGGGCGTGCGCCTCCGTCTCCCCGAAGAGATGCGCCAGCTCCCGCGGACAGGAGGGCCCTCCCTACCCTCCCGAGTGGATAAACCCCGACGGCAGCTTCAACAGCGAGGAGGTGACCGAGCTGCCATGGGAACAGCCGGGGTGGACAGGGTGGAGGCCCGAGACGCCTGCCCCTGCGGCCGGGGCGGCGGCGGGAGGGGTGCAACGGCCTGCAGGGAGTGGTGCGGCTGGCCATGAGGGCAAGCATCGCGCGTCTGCAGGACCGCCTGGCTGAGCAAGACCAAGGGCTCAGTGAGATGCAGGTGCGGTGGGTGGGTGGGACACATCAATGCGCGACCAGTCCATACGGATGTGTATAGTTCGTCTTTCCTTCTGTCTGCATGTTTGCCTCTCTCTCTCCCTCCGTGTCTGTGTCGACAGGCTTATCCATTGTTCGCTGGTGTTGCCCCCCGCCCACTCGGGCGCTGAAGCTGTCTGTGTGATTGTATTGTGTGCTCGCGTCTCGTATTTGTGCTCAGGCGTCGTCCCATGGTGACGTGGAGGAGCTGCAGGGTGCGCACGAGCGGGAGCTGCAGGCGGTGCGTGGTGCCCTGCAGGAGACACGAAGCCAGCTCAGGAACGCACGCAGTTCGCTGGAGGTCGAAAGGTCAGTCGGGCGGTGAGCCAATGAGGGCAACACCACACGGACATGTACACCCACACCGATTTATCATGCCGCCCTTGTTTTGGTCGCCAGAATTGAATCCGAAGAGACCATCAGCAGGCTCCGCCAGACCGTTTCAGAGCATCGACAGCTGCAGGTGCGTCCGTCCGTTTGGGTGCACCAAAGGGCGGGGGCATGTCTGGATGGGTGTGGGTGTTGGTGTGTCATGTGGCTGGGTGTAGGAGTCCAACGACGAGGTGCAGGCGCGGCTACAGGAGCAGATCTCCCGCAATCTCGAACTGCAGAACGCCCTTGACACGGCCCAGCACACGAGAAGGCGCCGCTTCTTATCTCTGCCTACATTTTATATTCCGTGTACGTGAAACTCCCGCAACTGCGCCCTGTCTATCGTTGGACGCATGTGCGCCTTCCTGTGCGTATGATGGTGTGTGCGCGTGAGACATACCACGGATGACATTTCCATCGATGCTAAGTTATTTCCATCGATGCGTTCGTTATTTCGTTACACAATTCCATGGATTGGTCCATCCACCAGACAGACACCAGCAACCAAGCATACTATGGGTTCAAAACTGAGGCGCACACACACACACACATAAGACGTATGTGTCACGGACGCAAACCATGACCTGTACAACGACACGACACGACACGACAGGCACACAGAGACACCTACGTGCACAGAGAGGTAGACAGACAGAGGTAGGGTAGGCGGGTGTCCCTTCGGGCTGCATAGGTAGCATCATCAGCTCGTCCACACACAGACATACACACATACACAGGCATATATGTATGAATTCACGGTGACCACGCACTAAATCAATCGCTTCAAACAGCTGAGAAAAGCGATCGAAGCTGTCGGGGAGATCGCCAACCTTTCGACGGCCCCTGTCCTTCAGAGATAGGATGAAAAGGAAACCCCCCAAAGCAGAAGAGACACCAGCAGCCACGCTAAGAGCCAAGAAGGAATGAGGTATGTCGGTCGCGAGCAGCTGTCTACCCCCATCTCTGTAGGCTTCTCTTCACCGCTCATGTCCCCCCCTCTTAGCCATCGTGTGGACAGCAATGCACCCACACATTGCTGACGAGGGCTGAAAGGAGGGCGGGAGAGCGGTGAAGATGCGCCAAGAGACGTTGGCAATCTACACATACGGCACCATCGCACGACTAAGCGGTCGCTGGCTGTCTGTCTGTCTGTCTGTCCAACTCTCCGCCCGCCCGTTAATCAACACGGACAGACCCCCTCCGACACCACCACGCCGGCCCCGACGGGCGGAGCAGCCACACACTCGCCCCCAGCCACACACGACACCCCATTAACCATCTTCATCCCATTCACGTACGCCTTCCCACGCCCAACGCTGCCGCCGCCCTCGTCGATCCGCTTGGCGCCTGGTGGATGGGTGTGGTGCCAGTAGTGCGGGTGCGTCTCCTTCTTCTTGAGGGTCGCACCGCGCACACCAGCAGATGAGGGCATGGCCACCATCCCCGACGCCTCGATCCGCCTCTCTGTCGCGCTGTCGACCTCCCGACTCTGCTGCTGCTGCTGGTGGTGACTGGGCTGGTGCTGATTGTGGTGGGGTGGGTGCTGATGGCAATCGTGGAAGATCTCCTGCTGCTCCCTGTCCTTGCGATTGTCTTGGTCCTGGTTGTGCTCGCGCGGTGTGGTGTGCGTGGGGGGCGGGGGCGGAGGCGGGGGAGGGGGCGCAGGCTGCTTGGTGCTGGTGCGGAGTGAGAGGATGTGCCTGACGTCTTTGGTCTTGCGGACGGCGAGCAGGAGGGGTATGAGATCCAGGAGGGCCCTGTCGTCGCGCTGGCCCCACCACCCCTGGATGGGGAGCGCGTTCTCTGAGGAATGAACAGATGGATGGATGGACACGTGGATGGATGGACGGGCCTCATGTTGGTGCAGTGCAGGGGCTGTTGTGTTGTGTTGTGTTGTGTGTATACCTACCTGGGAATTTGGAGTATGCGATTGGCGAGTCGTCGACCAGGATGACGCGAGACAGCTCGTGGCGCACAATACGCAGATCCTGAGGCAACGAAACAAACGGTTAACGATGGACGAGAGAGTGGATGGATGAATGCATCGCATATATCAACGACAGAGAGCAAGCTCAGCTCGCCTTGGCTTGGCATACCTACCTTGACAAACTGCCCATTGTCGTTCTGCACACAGCTGTCCCTGCACGGCACACATGCAGAGCAGACACACAGACACAGGCGGTCACTGCACTGCACTGCTGGTCTGTCTGTCAGTCGTGCTGGGTGTGTGGTCTGGTCTGGTCTGGTCTGGTCTGGCTGACCTGAAGAATCGCTTGTCGACGTATGTGTGAAGGTCCAGCTGGTCGATGATTGCGTCAGCATACTCCTGCCGACCCGCTGTGTACACAACGATCTCGTAAACCGGGTACATCTCCGCGAGAAACCTCATCAAGTGCGGCCTCCTGGCCACGCGGAAGGTGGCGACCCTCTCGTCCACGCGCACATCCACCTTGACCGTCCGCACAGCCACCTCACGGAGGTCGTTGTGCCCGCTCACACCATTGCCCCAGATAATGATCTCCCGACCGCCATTGGCACCGCCCGTCCCGCCCGCAGAAGAGCGCCGCGTGCGGCGTCGCTCGCGCGTTGAGGTGGCACGGTCAGGCGGCGCGTCGGATGGCGGGGAAGGGGCCGTGTGTGTGCGGGGCGACGGGTCCTGATGTGATGACACACATAGACAGACAGACAGACAGACACATGCAGTGCAGTGCAGTGAGTGCGTTTGCTGAGCGAGCTGCATGGCGGACATACCGGCAGTTTGACGGCATGGATGAGGGTCTCGTCCAAATCTAGGACCAGGGTCATCGACGGCCGCACCCTTCGGCCGCTATCGAGCCTCCTGACGTGATGGCCGCCCACCAGGCGGCCGTACGATACAGGTCCTCCCCTAAGCAGCGTCACCAGATGGCCTGCAAGAGAACGGGGAAAAGATATCAACAGGTGTGAGATGTCTGTCAGTTGCTCCTCATCATCGTCGGAACGCAGCGGACCTGGGAGAGACTCGACGGCAGCCAGGAAGCTCCACACATAGCGAAGGAGAGAGCGGGTGAAATTGATGAGGTGCCTGAAGCGGAAGCGCAGGCGAGCCATCAGCTGAGTGCCGCCACCGGCCATCAGCCGCATGTCAGCGAGAGCTCGGGAATACCGAGCTCGAAAGAATACCAGTGCGATGCCTCAGTTGTCAATGCACTTCATGCCGTCAACTGTGCCAAAGACCAAAAAGAGAGAAGCCGAAAAAGCCTTCCGAACGTGCTCTACCACAAACGCGTTTCACGCCTTCATGCCCTAAGCGCTTCGACGGCAGCAGACGCCTTTCTTTGCTTTTGGGAGCTCTTTAGGGATGCGAGGGCAGCGCGGCTGCCTTCCGCCGTCGCGCAGGCCCTCCTCGAGTGGCAGGAGGTCCTCGCAACGCAGCACGGCAGCCGGGCGACGCTCGAGAAGGCCTCCATGGGACGTAAGGCCACACACGCACATGCATACATCTGCATTCATGCATGCACTGTTCTGTTCACACCGGTTGGTTGCAGGACAGCATCAGTGACATGAATCGCTATCGGCTGCCAGAGGAGGTTCTTCGTCATCGCCGGCAGATGGCTGTGTCATCGCACGAGGCCACGGCACGGTTCGCCTATCGGCATCACATTGAGGAGATACGGCGCGGCAGTATGGCACCGATCATCAAACAGGTATGTACTAGTGAGGACTACATGCCGGACGGATGCCTCTGCTCATGGATGGATGGATGGGTGGATTGGTGTGGATGAATGCAGGTTCGTGACTACACCCCCCCGCCCACCCGTTCCATCTTCACCGAGGCACTGGGACAAGACAACAATAATGACATCAACACCCACCGTCACTTCACGAGAACGGCCAACCACGTCAACCTCCCGCCCGCCCGACTTCGCGGCAGCAGGGGAAGGATGACTGCCAGCTCGGGTGACGCTGATTCAGGTACGTACAAAGGGGGGGGGAAAGACGAGCCCACCGACGGTGTGGCATGGGTCTACCTCAGTTGACGAGACCGACCTAGAGGCTGAGGTAGAGATCTTCCGTTCGGTGCGTGAGGAGCTGTCGTCGCTTGTGGGTGCCACCGTCAGCGATGCAGACACATCGTTCGAGGCGTACCAGCGGCAGGGCAGCCCTCCCAAGGCACCAGAGCCGCTGTCTGAGTCACTGGTGAAGGCGCAGCTGCATCAGCAGGGGGGCGGGGAGGGGGAGGGTGTGGATGCGGATGCGGATGCGGGTGCGGGCTGCGAGAAAGGTGATGCAGTAGTTGGGGAGAGTATGGGTGGCCTGGGAGCGATCCGCAAGGAATCGCCTGATGATAAGGTGCGTGGGTGTTGGCTGACATAGATGCAAGCCCCTAACACTTTCTGTTCATGGGTTTTGGTGTGTGCGCAGGTTGGTGTGGAGAAGACCGACGTCGCCCCCGCCGATCGTCGTGCAGACTCGCAGCCTCCCACCCGCCCACCGTTGGCACGGAAGCGCCCACCGCTCCCTCCCCAGCATCGCAAGACCGCCCCAGCGGCCGGCAAACAAGGGGAGGCCGTCCATGTCATTCCCTCTGCTCCTCTCGTGATGGAATCCTTTTGCCGTGAGCAGGAGGAGTCCATCGCGGGAGAGGAGGGAGGGAAGGCGGCTTGTGTGGAGGAGTGCGTGGCGGGCGAGCAGGACGGTGGGGAAGGGGCTACTGTAGCTAACGGCGCGGATGATGCAGATGACCCGGTAAGTGACTGACGGGGAAAACGGCACATTCAAATGGACACGACACACACTCTCATGTGTGTCGTGTCGTGTTGTCAGGCCCCCAACGGCACAACCGCATCGCCACTGGAGGGCCTCTCGTCGCCATCTCCCGTCAAGACGACGCGACACGCACCCACACCCATCCAGAGGGACATTGTCGGCCGATCGGTGCGCATAATTCCGTCAGACACCACCACAGATACGATGGCCAGCGAGGGGGAGAGGGCGGCCAAGGCGGGCAAAGATAAGCCGCTTGAGATGTCGGCGTCGGGCAAGGCGGAGGAGGTGACGAAGGGGGCACTGGGGGGAGAGGGGGGAGGCGGCAACACCATGCTGGTAAGAGAAGGGACCACTCACACAAACTGCAACATGCAACCAACCGGCATTGTCTGTCGTCCATGTAATCGTTTCTCAGGTGGACCGTCGTGGCCAAGATGTGCTGGCTGGACGAAAGGCGCTTCAGAGGCCAAAGGCCTACAGCCCTGAGGAATCGCCCCTGACGCCTCCCCGCAGGCACTCGAGGACGGGCCTCGAGAGTGCGGCGTTGGTGCACAATCGAGCGCAGTCGCCGCCGTCCCCGTCAGTGCAGCCCCGCAGGCCCCCGGCACCGCACCCTGATCCCCAACAGCCATCCCCACCAAACCCACACAAACAAGACAGCTTCCTGGTATGTGTGTATGCTCTCCACATGCACACAATGCCTGAGTGCTCACACCCAGAAATCCGTTTCATCCTGTCTGTCTGTCTGCCTGCCTGTCCGTTTGTCTGCAGGCGTACCTGCGTAACGAGACACTGTTCGAGTCGACTCCCCCATCGCCGCCCCGGTCGATGAAACCCGACTTCGAGATCCTCGCCGACCGCTACCCCTACAACAGCAATGTCAGCCGGGCCGCCTCGGCAGCCAACAGCGAGGAGGGGAGGGGGGGATGGAATGGGGTCAGCGACGGGGTGCCGTTTCCCATCGTAAGGGGCGACTTCGGGACGGTGTCGTGTGTGGGCAAGGAGCTCCTGCACACCAAGCCGCGAACCACCGAGCGACCGGTGAGGGGTGGGGTGAATGGATGGCCTGGCCTTCATTGCATTCGTGTGTCTGTGTGTTTGTGTTTGTGTTTGTGGTTGTGTGTGTGGTTGTAGGGTGGATGTGTGTACAGGGACGATATTGGCGTTGGGTTGGCTGAAGGGCCGAAGAGGCGGCGTGCGCCCATGCGGTTCACTCCGGCCACACAAATGCACAAATAGCTGGCAGTGAGTGTGTGGAGACAGATGTATGTATGTATCTGGGTGTGTGTGGGTGTGGTGTGTGGCTGATGGGCATGGATCGGTGTGTGTGTGGGTGGCAAGACAAGAGGCACATGATACCATTCAAGTGCGTTGGCAGCTATGAGCTCTCGCGTCTGCATGAATCACTCACTGTAGAGGTCGATCACTCTACTGTAGTCCGCATTAGTGTACACACAGTGGAAAAAAGGTACATGCATACCATACATCATTGGACGCATAAAGACGGCCTGCTCGGGACACCCCCAGAAACTCGACCATTACATTACATTACAAACACCGAACGTTCAGTGAGCGTGAGGACATCAATCAAAAGCACCGCGCCCCTCTCCAAACAAATGCATTTTGATCGTCAATCTTACCGGCATCCTCTTGCACCGTCGAATCTGCATACACGTGCAGAGCATTGCCGTTTTGGCCACCTTGCGTAGATGCACTGACTGACCTTTCTTCCACATTAATTGGAAACGAGAGCAGCAACACAGATGCAGCAGAGCCCAGCAGCAATTCCGAGGGCTGTGTTGCAGCAGAGCCCAGCAGCAATTCCGAGGGCAATTTTGACAGTCAGTGCTGTTCGGCCGGGCGGCGACAGCCGAGTGCGACGCAAAACGTCCAGTTGGAGATGAAACTTGGGCCGCTCTGGTGGTGACGAGTCGGTGCAGTCGGCCCTAAATTTGGAACGACAAATAACACAGAACGCCATGCCCTTCCCGCTCTCTTTTCCCCTTACTTGTCGTTGAATAGCTTCAACAATTCCTTGTCGTTGACATGCGACTGCTTCAGTGTGGCCTCCAGTGTCGCTGCAATGTGTGGGCGGGGAGCTGCCGTGTGCAAGCGCACGTGCGCGGTCTTGACAGGCCCATTGTCTCCGACAGTCGAAAGGAGCCCACCAACCTCTCGGTAGAAACGCCTCACATCAGTGAGGGCCTTGGCAGCATCCGTGATGCCCGCCGACCAATCGGCCAGCAGCCGTCTCCTGATGAGCTTCTCGTGGTAGAACCGGATCGACTCATCGCACTTCTCCTTCAGACGTAAGTCACCATGGAATGTCCCGTGCAGCTGTGCCATAGCCACTCGGTATTCCAGCCAGGTGCCGAACATGGGCGATGCGTCGAGGAAGGGCAGCTGGCGGCCGTCGTCCATGGTGATGCGGGGGAGGGCACTCATGTGGCGCAGCAGCAGGTGGGCCAGGTAGGTGTTGGCGAGGGCAGGCAGCGCCAAGGCATCTGGTGCCAGGACGACGGTGCGGCCGCCCACATTGAGATGGATATCGCCAGCCTTGAGGACTTGCGAGGCTTCAATGTCAGTAAAGAGAGTGCCGCCGTGCCGGCGGACCGTCTCGTGGATGGCATCAATCGTCGCCTGGAAGTCGCTGCAATGCGTCTTGACGACGCGACTCGGTGTCCCCTCCTCTGTTGCCGCTGTGCCCTGAGCGCCGTCGATTTTGTTGTCATCAGCTTGTGCCTTCGACTGGGGAGTGGCCCTCTCCTCACGGCCCTGCACACGCATACATAAGGTCATTGCTTTCGGAGGTGACCCAATATGCACGAGCCGACCTACTCACCTGCTTATATATCTCCTGAACCTTGAGCTGCAGAGCGCAGACGGCCGTCTTGACCTGCTCAAGAGCCCCTCGTTGGTCGCCAGCCTGTAAGAAGGATACACGTGTGTGCTGCCTGGGTCGTCATTCATGAGATTCCCGTCTGTCTGTCTATACCGACCTGGTTATCGAGGAGGGACTGAACGCTGTCCCGCAAGGCGCCCAACTCCTCACGCACCTGACCCATCTGTATGCATGTAGGACACACACACGCATTGCCCTTCATGGATCCGTCAAGCGTGTGCACGTCCGCCGCCCCAGAGTACCTCTGCGTAGGTGGTGGTGAGCGCGGCATTGAGCGTGGCATCGATGGCCTTTATCTTCTTCTTGATTGTGGTGATGCTGTCCGAGAGGGTGACCCTTTCGCGCTTGGCGATGCCCTCAGACACATGGGCCACATACGAACCGACCTGAGCGATACATAAACAAACACACACAAAGAGGCAGATAGGGATACAAATGATGCTGTGTGCGGTTGGGTTCTCTCTGTCAACGAATCACCTGACCTGCCGGGCGGTGTTTGTGTCCCGAGAAGGGTCTGCACCACACACAGCACACAGGACGATGCAATGCACCAATCCGGCGGCTTGTCATCTGGCTGCAGATCTTCATTCACCTGTGGCGAAACAGCGCACACCCGTCTGCGTGCGGCCAGTCGTCAGCAAGGCAGGACACCATGCTCCAACGCCTGCATGCATGAACCACAGACATCATCTGACTCATCCCATCTACAGTATTCCTGTTGTCATCTTACCAGCGGCATGGGTGTGCGTTCGGATGAGAGATGGGCCATGCTGCAGCGCTGACAGGCCGCCAACGGCAGACCGCAACAAAGGCTGCTTGAAACGTGACAGCATCTGTAAAAAGTTCGGCTCTGTGCCAAATCCCGCGATGTGCAGGGTTTCTTAGGGTAAAGGGTTCAAAAAACGATCGCCCGTGGCCACGGATTGGAGGTTTGGTCTGTTGTAGTTTCGGTGAAGGCAGCGCCTCACGCGAGTGATAAGAGCGTGTTCGTGCCTGCCAGCCACCACACCATCGCTCCCATTCCGCTTCCATCGCTACCTCTCTCTTGTGTCACCCACCTGACATCGCCGCCGGCTCTCGGTGAGCAGTGCACTGAATGCATGCAGCCAGGAGGGCCGCAGAGAGGCAGGAATAACATCAGGGTGCATGCCTGATGGGCCAGGGGTCAATTCTGAGCGGTTCATGAGGTGTCGTGTCTTACTCTGAGTCCCACTGTGGCATTGTGGTGCTGTGTGTATGGCGCAGGTGCCGGTTTGGTTCTAGAGTTCACTGCTGAAGTTGGTTGACCGACCATGTCTGGGATGAACCGTCGGCAGTACGCGAACCAGCCGGAGGATGAGCCCCGGACACGCCAGTCCGGTGACCCATGCAACACCTGACCACAGACCACACCACACAAGGCCATTTCATTGCTGTGTATCGTCTCCCTCTGTGTGTGTTGTGGCATTCATTGTGCAGCCATGATGTCGCCCCGTCGCAGCCGGGCGGCCCGAGCGGCTGCGCGCAGTGCGCAGCGCAGCCCATCCGGCGCTCCGCGCCCCTCCCGCCCGTCGATCCGGGCCCAAGCGGACCCGATGGACGTGGCGGACATGGGGTTCCAGACGCCGCCTCTCACGCCGACACGTCATGGGGGCGGCCAGCCTCAGCTTGAGGCGGGCGACGAGGTCCAGGAGCCCGAGTACAACGAGGAGCTCGACCGCACAGACGGTAGGGGAGGGAGGGAGGCACAAATGGGCATATGAGACGGGGAGGGAGTTGGGTGAGTGACCAGTGGATGTGCTGGTGTGATGTTGTGATGTTGTGTGTTGTGTTCAGGTCCGTTGAAGGTAGAGTTGCGTATGGAGTACAAGGCGCTGCCCCAGAACCGACAGATGGAGGTCTTCGCCGTGGTCAAACTCAAGCAGCCCAACAAAGACCAGGACAAGAAGAAATCCGCCGGCAAAAAGGTAGGTAACCACACACACACACACCCTCTCACCCACACACACCCCCTCGTGTGTGTCGGTCCTTCAGCGTTCCATTGAGGACGGTCCTGTCCCTGCGGCGGCTGCAGCTGCTGCCACAGGCACGAACAACTCGACCACTGACGAGGAGCTGCCTGAGGAGGAGGGTGGCATCGAGGGTGTGGCGATGGATTTGGTGTGCGTGCTGGACATCAGCGGCTCCATGTATGGGCCCAAGTTGGACAGCGTCCGCGAGATCATGAAGTACATCATCCAACATGATATGAAGGACACTGACCGGTGGGAGGGATAAGAGAGCCAGGAAGAATACCTTATCTTATCCCCCCCCCCTCTCTCTCTCTCTCTGTGTGTGTGTGTGTGTGTGTGTCAGTTTGGGCATAGTGATGTTCGACTCGTTCGCCGAGGTGCTGCTGCCGCTCAAGAAGATGACACCGGAGAACAAGTCGGCGGCCATGGTCAAGGGTATGCAATCAACGCACACACACATGGACACCCACACGCACATAAAATGGATGGATGGATGGATGGATGGATGGCTGGATGTGTGTCAGTGATGCGTTTGGCGTCTCGCGGCGGCACGAACATCTACAGCGGTGTGGACTTGGCCGTGAGCATGTTGGAGCAGCGCAGCACCAAGAACTTCGTCTCGTCCATCTTCATGCTCACAGACGGCCAGGTACGTACGCCACATGACCACACCACCACCACACACACGCATGCCCCCACTCATCCACTGACCTGTGTGTGTGTATGGTTGTGTGTGTCAATGACGTGTGTGCAGGACCACACGTCGCCCCAGCAGGTGCAGTCGTTGTCGCGCCGTTCGATGATGATGGGCACCTCATTCTACCCATTCGGTCTGGGCAGAGGGTTGAGCAACGAACGCACCAGCAGCACACACACATGCATGCACACGCACTCATGTGTATTGTGTTGTCTGTCCGTCTGTGTGTGTGTGTGTGTGTGCGTTAGGCATCGGTTCTGACCACAACCAGAACATCATGTCCATCTTCGCGGAAGGCCACAGCACCACATACACCACCATAGATGTGTGTACCTACCACATCACATGGACCTCACTATGTGGCACACAACAGACAGACAGACAGACGATAGCGCCAAGGACACAGCACAGCACAGGGCACACACGTGTGTGTGTGTGTGTGTGTGTGTGTTCCGTCAGAACGTCGATAACTTATCGGAGCAGCTCGTAGCGCCGTTCCACAATGTGGTATGCCATGCTGCCAACACACACGTGGCACACACGACACACAGACAGGAAAATGGCCTTTCTCTCTCTCTCTCTCTGTGTGTGTGTGTGTGTGTGTGTGTGTTGGGTGCGTGTGTGCAGCGTGGGACGACTCTGAAGGACATCGAACTCAAGTTGAAGGCGAGAATGACACCCACACACACTCCACACACAGACACAGACACAGACACAAAGACCTGGTGGACTCGTGTGTGTGTTTTTGTGTGTGTGTGTGTGGTTATCCATCGGTTCGTCCAGGCGACTGATAGGGACAACACGTTGATCAAGAGTTTGCACATCGACTACCCCAACGAGATCAGCAGGGACAAGAAAAGCGCCACCATCACCATACCGGACCTCCTCAAAGGTAGGAGGGAGGGGGCACAGCACAGCCCACCAAACCACACACACCTTCTCCCCCTCTCTCTCTGTCTCTCTCTCTCTCTTTGTTCTCATCAGCTGAGGATCGCAACCTTCTGATCGAGTTGGAGGTGCCTGAGGTCTCCTTCTCGACTGACAAGGTCAGCCACCCATCCACCCACCCACCCCTCCGTCTGCATCTCTCTCTCTCCCCCATGTACGTATTGTATGTGTCTATGCAGAGCACCCGCATCTTGTCGGTGAGCGGCAACTACCGCGACATGGAGGCCCTGGTGCGTCGGCGTTTCATCCCCAAGCACCTCTCACTTACCCGAATCGTCGAGGCGGAGCCGGACGCTGAGGATGACGAGGGGGAGGGAGAGGGGGAGGGGGAGAAGGGCAAGCCCAAGAAGCCCGCCGATGAAGAGGTGGGTCCCTTTGGGGGTGCAGGGATGGATGGATGGATTGATTGACACCTGCGTATGGGTGTGTTGGTGTGTTGGTGTGTGGTGTGTGTGTGTGCAGGTTGTTCGTGAGCGTCAGAAGCGCGAGGTCCGTAACGTGTTCCAGCAGTTGGCCACCGAGAGTAAGGCAAATCCACCGACCCATCCACCCACCATGCTCTCATCGTCTATGTCTGTCTGTCTGTCTGTGTGTGTGTGTGTGTGGATTGGTGGATGTGTGTGTTGATTAATTAGTGGACGGGATGCCCAGCGCCAATCGCATCGATGCGTTGGTGGACTCGTCGGTCAACCGCATCCACGCCCTCTCCATGACCAGCCCCAGCCCCGCCATCAAGCGCGTCACACAGCAGATGCAGGAGCAGCTCAGGCAGACCCAGGAGCAGAGCCGTCGGGCCATCAACAACGTACGCACCACAGACACAGGGAGAGAGGGGGGGAATGAGAGGAGACCGAGCCGCTTACTGCTGAAGTGTTTGTTCCTCATCTGTGTCTGTGCGTGTGTGTGTGCGCGTGTGTGCAGCGGCAGTCTCGGCAGTACAGCCAGCATCTGACTTCGGTTACTTCCGCACTGCGCACCTCTCGGTAGACATGACGTCACAACACCACACCACACCCACCACACACAAGATAGATAGATATCCCCCTTTCATTTCCCTCTCTCTCTGTCTGTCTGTCTGTTTGTCTGTCTGTGCATTTCGTTGGTCGTCTGTCTCATATATCGTGCGTGTGTTTAGGCCGACGTCGTCTCGTCAGGAGTTGGCCAGTGTGGGGCTGTGCATGTCGCCTCAGTCCATCCGCGGCATCAACAGGTACTCGCGCCTCAGCGGCGGCCCCGTCAGCACACCCAACTTCAACAGGGGCACTGGTGGTGCGCCGGCCTCCAGTGCCGCTGCTGCTGCCGCTGCTGGTGGGTCTGGTGCTGGGGCGTCATCGGCCGCTGCCGCAGCGGCTGATGCGGCCCTGATGCCGCCCCCACCTGTGCCTGAGGACATGCACAAGAGCAAGAAGCCGCGCCGGGAGTGATCAACAGATAGAGATAGAGACAGGGGGTGTGTGGGCGTGGGGAGAGTTGGTTGATGGATGGATGGATGCATGTGTGTGTGTGAGAGTGTGTGTATTTTTTTCAAGTGGATAAGAGACGAGGCAGCGGGTGAGGTCGGCTGCATACGACATCCACCCCACCCCACCCGCCACAGACACACACACACAAGTCGGGGCAACCCACTCGCCAGCCAGAAGGAGAGATGATAGAGACGCTGGCTTGGCCCCTCTTTTTTCGACTGCCTGTCCGCCTCTGTGTGTGTGTGTGTGTGTGTGCCCGTTGATGGCCTGCCTGCCTGTCTGTCTGCCTACCTGTTGTGTGTGTGTTCGCCTGACTGCGTACGTCCGTGCGCGGGTATCACGCCTCCCGGGTGACAGATACGATAGAGGGAGCCTGACAGATGGATGGATGGATGGAGGATGGTGAACAGAGGAAGATAGTGTCGGAGAATGGGCAGGAGGGAGGGAGGAAGAGATGCATGTCTGTCTGCCTGCCTGAGTGCGTCTGGATGGATGGCCGCGGCAGAGAGGTCCCCTGCAGGCGCCTTCACAGTGTGCACCATGACAAGATGATAGACAAGCGCACTGTGACGGCTCTGAGTGGCACTCTCTTTCCGTGTGCGTGTTGATGCTTTTTCCCTGGTGTGGCTGGCTGGCTGGCTGGCTGATATGTACAGTACACGTATGGCCACTTGGGCTGGATGGCTACAGGGTGAAGACTGGCTAGCTGGCTGATGGACAGGTGTGGATGTACGGTTACAGGGTGACAGACGGACTGATACGTACGTGGAGGGGGGAGGGACAGAGAGATAAGGGGGAGGGGCGGGCGG